TCTTTCAGGGCTGTAGGGGCTCGTGGTTTCTGTTTCTTTATGGGGTATGCAGAACCCTCAGGCTCTGCTGGGGCTAAGCCGCGAGGTTCAGTGGTCCAGGATTCCCAGAAGGGTCAAAGTATTGCTGAGGAAATATATGGAAGATAACTACACTAAGGGCCTACACTACTAACAAGAACCCTGAGCAACTCTTTGACACTACAAGGCTGCGTGGTACACTTCTCGATTTGTTCGATTTGTGCGTGTCATCCAAGAACGTGCTGACCTGGGCTGCAGGGGCCATGCTAATCTTCTCTGGGTCGTTGCATTCCGACAGGCCCTCCTGAGCAGAGCTGCTGTGTAGCTCTGATCACCTCATATCACCGCAGATGACTGTACATACTTGAGCAGGTTCATAAAGACATGGCCGTTTCAAGCTTGCAGTGCTTTCTTGTGAGTAGCCTTTTGGAACACGAGGCCTGCCATCGTACACAAATGCAGTATCTTGCCCCAATCCAGGTACTTCGTTCCTAGGTCAGTTTCATTATCATCGGTGCGCACCTTGTGCACAGTAAAGTCATTGCTTTGGATGCGCTGCTGAATCCACAGATAGCAACGCGAGATGTGCTTTGCTTTCCCGTGCCCACGGCGGGTTGCTAGTGACTTGGCTGCAGAGGCATCCATGTGTAGCTCACCTTTCAGTTCCAAACCGAAATCTGCAGCCATGGCCAAGGCACCTAACAGAACCGAAGCGGCCTTCAAACTAGCATAGAACTCGGACTCCCCACTCGATAGGGACAACACATGCTGTGTGGAGGAATAGCACTTGATCAAATGAGAACCATGAAAGAGAAACCCAGAAGACGTTGACTTACGTGTTACCTTGCAACCAGCATCGTCACTGTCCGATTTGATGACAAACTTGCCAACCCACTCTTGGTCAGCATATGTCCACACCAGACGCGGCTTGCCTGCAAGGTAGCGTGCCAAGCGTTTCAGTTTCAGCCAACTTTTCTCATCTGGCTTGCTCATGTCACGAGCAGCCTCCTTGACAGCGTAAATGATATCTGGCCTGTCCATCGACAGGTAGGCTGCTCTCATTGTGAGGCTCCGATACACCTGTGTGCGTTCAGGTGAGAGCGGCTTGTAATCTTGGTCAGGCTGTGCAGTACCAGGGCTCGAAACAGGCTTTGCTTCTGTCACGCCCAACTCCCGCACCAAAATTTGCACGTGACGCGGATCAGCCTCATAGGTAGTAAAACTGTCCGTGTGTGAAACCAGTCTGTTAAGAATCGAAACATCTTTCAAATCATGTTTGTCTGGTCCCAACATGCCACCATATTTGATTTCATAGCGAGTCATAATAGAATCCTTCAGCCAGTTCAGGCTAGACTCTGGGCCCAATGATGTGATATCATCCCCATGAACGGACACGTACAAGCATTTCACAGCATGGACGTATATCACAGGACTGCTTAAGCCTTGCACAAAACCATGGTCCAGGAAAAAGGAAGTGATCTCTAGTTCCCAGTTCTGCGCCGCATCTTTGCAACCATACATGGATTTGTTGAGGCGTGCGCACTTACCAGGTTGGGCTTCTTCAGGCGGCAGACGGACGTAGATGAAACGTTGGACTTTGGCAGTCCAATGGGCACGTTTGATGTCAATGAAAGAAACTTTCATCTTTGCAGCGAATCCACCCGTTCTTTGCAAGCTCAAAAGAAAACGCAAACTTTCAAGCGGCGGTGTTGCTGCAAAGTACTCTGCGTGAGGATCACGACGGATTTCCTGCACTACCAATCTGCTTCGGTAGTTTGGACGAGCTTCATCTCCTTTGTTGATGTCAATCCAGCGAACCCCAATAGGGGCCGCACCTGTGTTTGCCCAACACTCAGCTTCATCAACTACATCCCAAACGTGGTACTTATGTGCATAGGAAAGTTCCTCCTCACGAGCTTTGACTACCAGTTGTGCGCTGAGAGGCTTGCCCGAGATCTCATCTATGAATGTGAGCCAATCATCTTGCAACTCGTTGTCAAACTGTAAGTCCGGCTCTTGGTTCACAGGTCCGGCAGACATACTGTTCAGATTCCCTTGTTTGGTCAACTCATTCAGCAAACCCTCTAAAATGGCAACTCCAACTGCTTCTGGGTAGTGTTGAGCACGTGTCTGCTCCCCAGCTGTGGCGAGGACTCGGCGTCGCCACTTCTTTGGGCTGGCGCGGTAGAAGAACAACGTCTCAATT